CCCCCCCAAAAAAAAAGAAAGAAAGAAAGACTGGTCACTGGTCACAGTGGTGTACACCTGTAATCCCAGCTACCTAAGGAGGCTGAGGCAGGATAAGTGCATGAAAGACACTTAATAAGACCCTGTTTGGAAATAAAAAATAAAAAGGACTGAGGATGTAGTTCAGTAGTAAAGCACTTGCCTAGTATTCTTGAAGCCCTGAGTCAGCTCCCATTACTGGAATAAAAAAAAAAGTGTCAAATTTAAAAATAAAGGTAGGAGAATCCCTAAAAGACAGATGCCTGCTTCTTTTTCCATTTCTTGCTTCTACTACCAAAAGCAATGCTCCACCAGATGTGATCCTTCCCCTGACTCCCTCTTTGATGATTCATAGCTAGGGTGTTTAATGAGACAAAGGTGATAGGAGAGAAATAAGTGGCTATTTTACTCTTTTGTTGTTGTTGTATATTTGTTTTGGTGCTGGCAAGTAAACCCAGGGTGCTTTACAACTGAGCCACATCCCCAACCTTTCTTATTTATTCTTTTTTTTTTTTTTTTAAATTTTGAGACAGGGTCTTGTTAAAGTACTTAGGGCCTCACTAAGTTGCTGAGGCTGGCTTTGAACTTTCAATCCTCCTGCCTCAGCCTCTGCAAATCACTGGGATTACAGGTATGTGCCTTCATGCCCAGCTGCCCCCAAACTTAATTTCCTTCTCCATTTTCATCTCTCCTTCTCCTTCTCCTTCTCCTTCTTCTTTTATCCAAGCCTCATTTATTCTTGATTAGGAGATCATTAAAGGGGAAAAGCATCCAAGTTTTATGTTCTCTTAGCTGGTGGTACCATAGTTTCCTCAGATTTCCAGATCACCCCTAATAAGAGGGGCTGTGTCTACAGAGTGAAGGGGTGTCTGCTGGACACTTATTACTTGTTGACATTACCCAAAGTCCAGGAGGTCAAGATGCAGTAGGGGCACTGGTAGTGTAGTTCAATGGTAGAGATCATGTTTAGTGTGAGTGTGGCCCTGGGTTCATCCCCAGCACCAAATAAACAAATAAATAATGAGATAGGGAAGGGAAATTATTAAGGTTCAGGCCACAGAGTTAGCTCCAGGGCTAGCTGGCAGAGGCTTGTCCCCTGTTTTCCCAAAGTGTCAAAGATGTATGATGCTTCTTGGCAGAGGTGAAGGATGCTCTTCAGAAAGAAAGGAGGAATCTCTTCAGAAAGATATCTGGGTCCTCTGGCTGAGAGGGGTTAGATCCTCAAGAAATCTTGGGGTGCTTCCTAGCAACAGTCTGGGAGGAAGGGAGGGAGAGAAGCAAAAGAGAGAAGGAGGGGCCTGGGCATGGCGGCTCCTACTAGAGCCCAGAGAACAGTCTGTTCCTGCTGCCTCCTTGGCAACCAAAATCTAAGCTGGAGTGGAGGGGAGGGGGACCGTCAGATTTATCCCCCTTGGAGGGTCCCTAACCATTCACATTCATACCCCACCCTCTGGCTCTCCCCATAGGAGCTGGGCGTGCCCTGAAACAGAGTATCAGGGATGGGAGGGGATGGTCTAGGTGAGGGGTTTCATACCAAGAAGGGAACAGGAGCTGGGGATGAACTGAATCTGAATCTGAGAAGAGCTAGAAGCTTCAGGAAACAGGTGGGCAGGGTGACCGGGTGGGAAGAGGAGGATGCAACACAGGGACAGGGGCTATAAGCCCAGACTTGGGTTGGATCTGGGCGTCTGGTGAGACACCTGTTCTGGAGGCATTTTGCCCTTGCCAGGTCTGTTACCAGACCCTATTGGGAAATCAGGAAAAAGGGAGAGGTCAGGAGAAGATGGGAAGGGTTCAAGTTACCCCACTCTGTCCCTAGCAGGGGCTGGAGGGAGGTAGATCTTGAGGCATTTCATTTTTTTAGCCCTGGCTTTAGTATTTCTTTGGGGAGGAGGGCATCTAGGATTTCAGAAAGTCTCTCCCGCCCAGTATTTTTAGGACACTGCATCAAAGACAGATGTGGTGGAGAGAGAGAAAAAAGAAGGGAAACAAAAACAATAGCACCTTCATCTTCCCCTTCTGGATTCCTCACCCCTGCCCTAATCTAGATGACTGCTGGGCCTCTCTGTTGCCTCCTATTTTTACCTGGTCCAGGCAAAATATAAATGTGTATCTCATGCACCCAAGTTATCTCCCAACTCCCAGGGCAGCCTGGACCCGAGGAACTATTTTCATGCAGGACAGAGCATGCACACTGCAGCCTTGCTCCCCAGGGTTTCAGTCAAACCTGATCACTGATGAGGTGGCATCAATTGGCAGGCAGCCACCCTTGAAGCACCTACACTGCACACTGCACTGACTTCACACTGCAGCCTTCGGCCCCACACTGCAGCTGTTGAATGTTCGCTCTGAGCCCAGACTGAACACAGGTGCCCTTACTGCGTGCTGATTCTGCACACTGCAACCTCAATTCCCCCACTGCAGCTGCCACTGCACACCGCAGGTGCCCTTCACCTATTGCATTGCCCTCATCACCACCGATTAATTGCACACCCCATGGGTGTGTCAGCCCAGCTGCTCTTCTCATCCTCATGGTCTCAGGGGCTCCAAGAAAGGAATCCTCCCCTCTGATATGTATTGCAAACCCTAACACTCGCTGTAAGAGAAATGGTTCCATCAGAGAATGGAGGTGGCTAAGACTAAGATGGGCAAAGGGAGCCGAACTTGGATAGGCTGTTGTCAGAACCTCAACTCAGCAAGTGATTCTGCCCAGTATAAACTGGGCGATGAGCAGAGAGCAGTCCGCACTCCCCCCACCTCATACACACACACACACACACACACACACACACACTCTCTCCTCCCCAAGAACAGCCTGTGAAGGCAGTGCCCCGCCCTGGGAACCGTGGGAAGCTTGTGGCCCCCGCTGGTAAAACTGGGCTAATGACAGCGGGGGAACCGGCGGGGCCAGAGGGGGGGGTGCTAGAGTAATTAGACCTCTGCCTGGCGCTAAGAGGTCCTGAGATGAAAGGGGCTCTGGCGTCACTGGCATGGTTTTATGTCCATGAATGCAGGTGTGTGTGTGTGTGTGTGTGTGTG